CGGTACAAGCGGTCATTGACAGAAGGTCCCTTGGTGCACAGCTGTGGATCGAACCTATGGCCTCATGGATGAGACTCGTACGGTGAAGACTAAACCAACACTGCTTATTCATTTCTAGTAGTAGTTGTTCATATTTATGGGAAAGTGGAACATAAATCAATTATAAAATCGCGTAAACCAAGTCTCTCACCCGAATTAATTACTGCGCCGGCAATCTTCGAATTATTCGCATAATATCAATGAGAAAGAAGAAAGAAAGAGAAAGAAAAAAATATTTAAAATAAAAATGATATTTACGTAAAAAGAAAGTGCACTAGCCACCACACTAGGATTCCCTGTGTCGTGACCAGCTAGTCTCGTCCATTTGATATATATGTTAACAGTACATAGACAAAGACATAACATTTATTACTAACAAAACACACACACATAATAACAATTATCAAAGCAAAAAAAAAAAATTAGAGATTTAAAGAAAAAACTTTTTAACCGGAACATAACTTTAAGTTATGTATTATTATAAATTTACAATTATTTAACATAATTTTAAATTTATCCGACGTTTCGCGTGCTTTACAGCGTGCGTGGTCACGGTGACCACGCACGCTTAATGAGAGATATCAAAAAAAAATCCTTTTCCCTTTCGGTACTTGATAATAATTTCTAGGGGTTAGGGTTAGGGTTGGTGGACTCAGTTTCCGCAATTAGACACTTAATTGGTCCGTTGTGCGTTAAGTCCTGGCTAATTTAGCCAGCCCAGCTCCTTCCAGAAGCACAGAAGTCTCCTGGGCACTTCACAGGCTTCCCGTAGTGACCTCACTGTTCCGAGAATTTCTGCACGTTGATTAGCCACAGCCTCGCATTCCAGGACTACGTGGGTGACTGATTCCTCTGCGCTGAAACAGCCTCTGCACAAGTTCTAATCTCTATATAACACTTATATTTTATTACTATTGTTGCACAATAGAATATTTTCCGTTTCAGCATAGGACAGGTTGAGAAGAGATTAAACTGGATTTTTCGTTTGTCTTAAAATGGACACAAATAGCCATTATTGTTTAGAAATTACAAAGTATACCTGATTCTTATGATATCATCAAGTTGTATAATTTTTGTATAATAAAACGATTATCTTCTATTGCATTATTCATATATATATTAAATAACGTTCGTAATCTCAGGGTATATATAATACTGGTTAAATATTTGTTTCTATAAAATCACAATGAGACAGGCAAAAACTCTTTCTCTCTCTCAAAGACTTTCTCCCAACTTACATTAAAATAATTGAATAGAAGATTTGTAGAAATTGGCAGTTTTTGGCATGCCTGAGGGCTTGCGGGTGCGTTGACGGCCTTTCAAGAATTTGTACGCTTTCTTGAAGGACCCTAAGTCGAATTGGTTAGGAAATACTTCAGTGGGTAGCTGGTTCCACATAGTGGAGGTGGTAGTGGTAGTAGTGATTTCGCATCGAAATGCTGCAAGGTGCACTGCTAGGTCCCAAACTTTTTAAATCGTTTAACAATGATACTTTTAAAACTCGCTTGCAATGTTTAACCATAAACATAAGTTGCAATTTCCTTTTAATAATAAAACATTCTTTTATGTAATAAACAAACTTTTGTTTGAGTTAAACTGGTTAAACAAGACATTCAATAAATTCCTTTAAAATCTGGAACTGACACAAAATTGATTGGTCTTGTATTATCAAGAGTTAAATGTGTTTAAGGATATGTTTTTAAGTTTGTTTTCTTTCATATAACATATAACCCTTTTTTTATACAACTGTGGGCAAACGGGTAGGAGGCTCCCCTGATGTTAAGTCATACCGCCGCCCATGGAAACTCTCAGTGCCATATTGCTCGCGAGTGCGTTGCCGGCCTTTAAAGTTTATAAATATATATTTGCAACACACAAATATAATAAAATAAATCAGTGGAGCTACAACCTTTTTAGGTCTGGGCCTCAGATTTTGTACCTATCTGTGTCATCATCATTTGTCAATCTAATAGGCAAGTAGGTGTTCAGCCTCCTGTGCTTCATACACGCCGTCGACTTTTTGGGAAAGCCGGTTTCCTTCACCGTTCGAGCGAAAGTTAAATGCGCACATAGAAAGTCCATTGGTGCACAGCCGGGGATCGAACCTGCGACCTCAGGGATGAGAGTCGCACGCTGAAGCCACTAGGCCAACACTGAAACAAATATATAGTATTTACAATATTCTTAACCTACATAGAAGTTATAATTAAAAATTGATAAATAGAAAATTAAAACGAATTTTAAAAGTTTGGTCCCTGTGGCGCCACCTTTAGTGCTGGCAGCATCGCTGTAGAGCGAGGGCATCTCTGGGGACACCAGTACTATGTACCAGGGCAAACTTATTAATTAGCGCCTGTACACTTGAATCCCACGGCCCAAGAGTCGCTACTCCAAAGCGATCAAAATCAAAGTTGAAATATTTGCGCTGTTTATGAATAATAAATTTATTTATAAATGAAGCACGGAGGTTATTGCGCTGTTTTTGGAGGTCGTGTCGAACCTCGGGTTTTTTGAAGCTTGTTAAAATGAGTATTTTGATTCATTATTGTAATGTTTGTAATCTAATTCTACTGGTCTTCCTAATGTAACTTGCAGTAGACAATGTGTTGTCTACATTTTATTATTATACACACAATACAATACACATTTCAAGACATTTAATTTCAAATAGGTCCTAAACAATTCCGCAAATAACGTACGTATTTTAGTTGATATAAAATCAAACTCAAAATATCTTTATTCATATAGGTAAACAAGTACACTTATTAGAAAAAGAAGTTAAATTAATTGTAAATTTACATTTACTACCAGTTCGCAAGGGCGTAGAGCGGGCACGCAGAACTGGTAATAAACTTTCCGCCACTCTTTTTAATCGCTAAGTTTGTCTATAAGAAACATTCTTTGAGGTTAACGACTCCAGACTTTTATTGGGCAAGACGCTTCATCAGAATCCAATACGTTTTTGACGTACCCCAGTTCAGTAGTGTTAAGTCAGTCACCCTTAACGAAGGTCCTAATAAAACAAATGAAAACTTAATACATTTGTAGAGAAGAGTGAAAGTGAATCAGGGCGATAGTCGAGTGCTCATGTGTGCCGAGTATTAATATTCACCGCCTGCGCACTGGCACGGACTGATTTCATTAATATCTACATCTACAGTGCTGCATTCAATTATTCATTTTCCTCACCGGATAATCGTATACTACAAAAAATGTATATTGATATTTTCTTTATTTCTGCCACCTTTGGAAAGCTAAAATTTAGTTCCAAATCTTTCCTTTATAATGTAAGTATAGATTGACTCGTCAATATATATATATATCGAATATCTTTATAATATAAGGATATACACACTTGCTGATTTTCTTTCGCGTTCTTTTATAATAATGCACTAATGTACACTTTTTTAATTTTTTTCATGTATCCTTTATTAGTTTAGTTTGCTTTTGTTTCCTTTAAGTTTATTTTTTTCTTAATAACTATATGTAATATGTATTTTTGCACTTCTTGCCTACCTTATCTAATTTAATTTTTTTTCCTTTTCTCACAATGGTTGCCTGGAATAGATCGCTCGAGAGCGATAATGCCGCCAGTTGCCCTCCTTTACATTTAATTATGTTAAATTTTTTTATTGTATTGCAAAAAATAATAATCAAATGTTATGTAAAGGGAAATAAATTTGTGAGTGATATATGAGAGAAGTATAATCTATATAAAAAAAATATTATACTTCGCCCAATCCCTCCCTGTACAACATTAGGTTGCCGTAACCATAAAGATTGCGTTGCGTCTGCGCATCCAAATCATTTGAATGACGATTGATGCTTTGATTTCATCAATCTTTGCATTATAACTTCCTTTATGTAAACACTAATGCATATTTAAGTTTATATACTTAACATAATACAATTTGGCAACATTCTCTCATACGAAAACATATATAATTTTTTAATACATTCACGCCTTTGTCCCGAAAGGGAAAGGCAGAGATCTCGGCTCGCCCGATATTACTCTCTCGCTTCATCCACTTCCATATCATTCACAATGTGTGCTTGTTGATTAAAGGTACTTTGACTTATCCCTTCTCTAGTACTTGATCCAGGTATGTACGACAAGACCTGAGCTGACCTCACCATCCACGCTGCCCTCATCCATCTTTTCTATATGGCCAACCACCTATGCATTTCCTTTGGTATTTTCACTACGCATTTTATATCCCACTGCACTATTGCAAATGACAATCAAAAATAATGTAATGTAGTAGCAAGCAATGAGTTATGGCATGCAACAAAAAATGTTTTAGCAACATTTTTAAACGGTTTTATTATCACTGCAATATTGTTTATTGCATTAAAAAATTATAGTATATATTACAATAATTATTATGTTGTCAAAGACTTTATGATTTAATGTTTAATTTGATCACATAAGGATCCAAATGTCAGTAGCAAGCAAGTTATGGCATGAAACAAACAAATTTTTTAAACGGTTTTATTATTTCAAGGTAAAATATTAGGACAAATGGCGAATTATTTTATATTCTTATCAGTACGTCTTTTATATGACACTGCGATATTGCTTATTGCATTCAAAAATAATGCAAGCAATATGTTATGGCATGCAACAAACAATATTTTAACAACATTTTTAAACGGTTTTATTATTTCCAGCTGAAATACTAGGACAAAAGGTTAATTCTTTTATATAATGTTGTCAGTACGTCTTTTATACGACATTCCATTATTGATTATTGCATTTAAAAATGATAGTATATATTACAATAATTATTATTTTGAGTATATGACATGTTAAACATTAGAATTTATAATGTCCCGAATGTAGTAGTAAGCTATGTTTATCGCATGCAACAAACATAATGTTTTAGCAATATTTTTAAACGGATTATTGATAGCCTTTTATTTATAGTGAATAATTTAAATAACTCGACTCTTCAGTAATTATGGCGAGAGACTGCCACATCAGGCTGACAGGTTTGTTATTGACTTATCGTAAATTATCTTGTATGACTAATCTAGGTAAGGACGTTCGATTGGAGAGCGGTAATCGAGGTTTGAGGACGATTGTGACTTGTTTAACTAATGATGACGGTAATGCGGTGCCATTAAACTTACGAAATCTTACATATTGTGCTATTTGAGTAACTTTTTTTTATGTAACGTATGGGCAAAGCATCAGGAGGCTCATCTGATGTTAAGTGATACCGCCCATAGACACTCACATTGCCAGCGAGCTCGCAAGTGCGTTGCCGGGGTTTTAAGAATTGGTACACTCTTTTATCGAAGGGTGGGTCCTTCGATCTACCATAGTGGTGGTGATGCAAAAACTGCCTAAGAAACGCTCAGTTGTAGAACGACGGACGTCAAGGTGATACGGGTGGAATTTCGTATTCTGCGATATTAAAACTTATAATAAACATTGATTTTTTCCAATGCTTTACTATTGATGGATAATAAACGAGTTAAGCCTTAATGGTTAATGTGTACCACTCCTCATTAGCTCTCGGGTTAAAATAATGGAGAAGTCTAAGAAAAAACTTCAAAAGTAAAATATTGGTCATTGTGATGTTTTGTTGCTTTAAGTAAGAAATTTAGTGTTCGTACACTCGATTTCCGTCCCATTACATACGTTGCATCTGCGCATGTGTACACACTATTCTGAGTGAATGACTCAATGTAGAGTAGCCGGGGCCGAAATTGTCTGCAATTATTTATTATCGACATTCTAACGAAACAGTAAATTTAAGATATTTCTAGTTACTTTGTGTAGTTATGCAGATGAACTTTAAAAGTAGTTCTTCAATATAATACAATATTTGTCGAGACCCTTGGTCCGTGGTTACTACGAAGGTTACTCAACATCATAGGATAACGAAGAGCTGGCAGCTACCTCGGACAAGGAATTAGTCTAGCTATTTAAAGGAAAGTATCTTCGGAACCTTGCTAAAAGGGCTTCTTTTAATAATATATTTTAGTTATTATATTTTAAGGTTAGTTATTGTTTTCTGATATGTTCTCAAATTGTTTACTCATTCAGTCAGCAGCTTTTTATTTAACCAATTACAATCAGACGAATCGCCATTGTTTTAACATTCTCACTCCCGGATCATTCTTCGAACGATATTTTTGTCTTCACTTTTCGAAAACCAGAGCATTCTGATAAAAGATAAGTTTCCAGAGGAGCTATGTTTAAAAATGAATTGATATATCGTTAAGATATTCAGTGGCGAACTATACCATCTGGGGCCCGTGGAAAATTCTTTTGATGGGGCCCTATCAGTAAAAATCGTCACGTTGTACTCAGTTTAATTTTAATAAACTTCGAGATTATCAGAGTATTCAATTACACGTTGTATATGTCCCACTAATGGCCATAGGCCTCCGCTCTTAGGCGAGATGGAATGGTCTATAGTCCCCACGCTAGCCTAATACGTATTGGAGACTTCACATTCATCCATTGAACATAATATATCTTGGTCAGGGGCCCGTGGCATTTTGCCAGCTCTGCCACCCTATTGTTACGCCACTGAAGATATTTATGAATCAGGTTGATTGCCCCAACCTTTTAACTGAATTTAAGTTTCATGTATGCTTTAGGCATCCCATCATCCCATTTGTCCCTCCTTTCAGAAGAACGCTGGTTTTGATCAATCCGATAACCAGATTGAGAATTCTGATAAACGAGCTAGGTCAAGATATCCATAGTTGCTCTCACACTTTTAAATCGATTTTCCTTTAGTTTTTTATAATTGTTGTTGTATGTTTTTGCCTGTACCAATCGTGTTGTTCTTGTACCAATGTATCAGTGTGCCGAGCGTTGGCAAGCTTTTATAAATAAATACCCTCAATTATAACAGATCCGCTCGATGAAAACTTCAAGGAAATCGCCGATCTAAATGAGCTTATGGTTGGAAAAGCGTGTAATCGGGGGCGGTATTGTTCTCCGACCCAGATGCACTCATGGGAACCCTTGAACCGCATCTCAGTAAGTGGGACAGTTTCACATTGTCAAGACAAATGTAATTGCGTGTACTGTAATGCCAAACCTTAAAGTATTTTCTTTTAAACATTTCAAAGGACATTTTTAAGACTCTAATAATTCTGAGCAGTGTTGGCCTATTGGATTCAGCGACTCTCATCCCTGAGGTCGTAGGTTCGATCCCCGGCACCAATGGACTTTCTATGTACGCATTTAACATTCGCTCGAACGCTGAATCCATCGTGAGAAAACCGGCTTCCGTTAGACCCAAAACATACAGGAAACTGATCACCTACTTACTACTAAAATAATTACCACGAGACAATGTTCCGGGAACGCACTTGCCAGCCTTCTAACAATGTGTCTATGGTCGGCGGCCCCCTGTTATATTAAAAAAAAACAGAAATCTGAAGCCAAAACCCTACGTGAAAGCGAATATCATAGCTTATGTTACGTCCTATTTACTATATTTTTAAATGCCTTCCTATCTCCTTAAATAAAACTATGGCTATAGAATAAATATGAGTTATATTAATTTGATTCTGAACTGGAACGAATTAATAATAATTATGACACAGAAACTCCAGTTCCAGCGTTTGATAATTTATTAAAACAATAGAATTACCTGTCCTTCATCTCAATAACAATTGTAATAATATGGTATTGTTATCATTAATAATACAATCACATAATTGGTTAATAAAAGCGTGGAAAAATTAAAGTTTTCCTTTGCCAAATAATTTCGTATTCTTGATATTCGTTCATGCGAAAGGCTAACCAGGGAAACGAAAAAGTGCACAGCTGGTGAGCTTAAAGTTGAAGTTGGTGGAGATGAGTTGGTTATCACTTTATTATGCCTCACGTCCCCCAGAAAAAAAACTAGAAGAAAAATACTTAAGTTTGAGTGAGATTCTTAATATATAATATTGTATAAAAGTATGTGTGTAAATTTTTCTTGTAGGTAATTACAATAAATAAATGAGGATAACTTGATACGAGTTTTTGTTATTATTTGCCGTAAATATATCAAATACAGGGTACTGCCGGATACAGGGGTGGGCAACCGGGGCAACAGCCACAGCCCACAAAAGCGAGGCCCCCCAATAGACTTCGGAAAAAAATGTTTTAAATTCCGACTAGTAAACCACTTCATTTTTCGCTGTTTTACTTTTAGCTTTGTACAAACATGATTACATTGTTCTTAAATATTAACAAAAATCATTGATCTGTATTTATATTTTTATATGTTTTTTAAATACTAAAAGAATCTACTTGGTTTCACAATAAGTTATTGATTGAAAAACTGAACTGATTTTTTTTCTTCATTTTTTTTAGCCTCCAGACCTCTATCGTTTCTCTCTCTCCAGACGTAAATTTAATGAAGTATCCGCTTGAGGAGCACGACTGCTATAAAGCATTGGAGTTTTGTCTATACTAATCATCTTCAGTAGTGTTCTTTATTACTGAAGGTTGTGGTGATTCGCTTCCTCCATTACTTTCCGTCTTCGGCAAGCCTTAGCCGCCTGTGTACTAAGGTCTGTTAGAACCTTAACGACGGTCCAGCGAGGGGATCGGCCTATCTCGTGACTTCTGCTCTAACGGACACCACAAACTAATATTATAAAGAATAAACTCAAAATGTATTGGTAAATTCTACCATCTTTCATAACTAAAATGATTATGACTGACTAACATAGACTATACTTATTTTATAAATATTTGAAAAACAAATGCCGTGCGTTGCCGGAATACGACGCTAGACAAATATATAAGAAATTCTCATATCTCTTTGAAATTTAAAATAGAATTTCACCAATTACACATAAATAATCAAAAGACATTAATTACATTGCGCAAATGTATTTTATTTGCACAATTGCATCGTATTGATGACGAAACATTCTTTTGTTTCTGCTATTTACACAGACAGTTTAGCACAAACGTCAATGGAATTGTAAAATTCAGAACATAAAATAATATTTCTATGCAGTAATTAAAAACAATTGTCGATCGATGTTCTTTTGTTTCTTTAAAATTTCCAAACGGCAAAAAATAATATTATTAAAATAATGAATATTTGTGATCTGTGTTCTTTATTTTGTCCTATTTTAGTTAATATATTTTTAAAATGTACCTAATTGTATCGTTTACTAAAACCTAAACATAACAATAAAAAAATATACAGTATTTACCATTTTCTTTACCTACATATTAATAATAAAATAATAGAAATTAATAAAAAGAAAATTAAAACAAATTTAAAAAGTTTGGTCCCTTGGCAGTGTACCTTCCTCGAACAAGCAATCGGGTCACCGGTACTATCTACCAGGCACCAACTTTAATCTTTTATTTTAAATGTTATGTTGTTTAAAATGTTTATTACAATTAATATGAGACAAAAGAAAATTAACCTATGTTGTACACTACTATGAATATTCTATTTGCAAATACTTAAATCAATTTCGTTTTCCAGGAGTTGGAGCAAGAGAAACATCTGTTGCGGCGTCGCCTGGACACGAATCAGGGGGAGTATGAGGCGAGGATACTAGAGCTGCAGAATGACATCAAGGAGCTGAGTGCCAAGATCGGCTCCAGGGATACATCTGTCAAACAGGTATTATATTTTGTTATAAACTATGTGTAATGTAACGTTAGACAAAACCGCGCGTTGATCGTGATTGGAAAAATGTGTCACGTGATATCGCACATTTTGGGCAAACTCTCAATTCTAGAGAGCTCGCGTTGCCGGCCTTTTAAAAATTGGTACACTCTTTCCTTGGAGGACCCTAAGTAGAATTGGTTCGGAAATACGGCAGTAATAATACAAATACGCAAATACGTACGTTGTGGAACGATGGAAGTCGAACGTGAAATTTAGCTAAGGTATTAATCGGAACAACCACTTCAAACACTCTCCATGGTAAATGCGGTAGAAGACGCCATCGTTTCATCTTCTTTTCTTATTAAATAGCTAGATATTCTTTTGTGCCTGACACCTCGACAATTCCTGGGTCTAAGGGAGTTGCACGCTCAAACCAGTAACCAACACAGCCCGTTGGGGTAAGAATCTAAAACAAAAGACGTGCGATGGCGCGTTACGCTTGAGTGCAGCTGGACAAATACAAGCGAAACGCATCATATATAGAAATAGACACTAGAAGCTTTCTACCTACATATATTATATTATCTTCGTCCATCTCGAAGGTTAAGTGAATAAACGAAAGGTTAAACCTTTTTCTACGAAGCGAAGTCATTACTTGGATGTATTTGATAGCGTACCTATAATTCGGTAGATAGGCACGAGCTTTTTTCGACTTTACCCAACGCAAATTTCAATTCGAACCGTTGTTCCTGAGATTACAAATGTTGGTAGCGGATGGCGGGATGCTTTCGAGCTATGATTCTATATTGTCTATGATAAAGTAAAAACTTTTGACATAATATGACATTTGACATTCGTAGAATACAATATTAAATGCGACTTATACGGTAAAATACACGAACAGATAAAACAAAATATAAAAATTAAAATAAAGTCGATTTCAAAGTGTGTGCATTTATGGATATCCAGAAATAAAAAGGGTAAATATGTCGAATCACGGCTCCACCTAAAACAGCTCCAAATTTTTTCTACATATTTTCATCACTCGGCTATGGTGTACCATGCAATAATGTGGTGGCTCATTAACCCCATAGAAATCAATTAAAACACCATGATTTGTGAAATGAATGAGAGAAAGGTAAACATTGTTAGCATTAACTTAACCTAACCTGATCGCAAGCGCCACTTGGAATAAAAAAACTTAACCCTTAAAAAACAAAACCTCGAATCCAATTAATTTTTACCCAAACTTAATAATATTCTAAAAACAAACCTATGTATAATTATATAGAAAAATACGTTAATTAATCTAACATGATTCATACAACTCATAAATTATTATTAGATAACGTTGTACGGAGAAATTTCTTATCTTGATATTTTCTTTTGTTATACGGGAAAAGCGTTTCATGATAATTAAAGAATAGATAACAAGCGTTGACTAGGTAGAATGTATGTGGTATATCTTTTATATATGTAATATAATCAGGTACATATCTGGGAAAGATTATAATTCAAAATTTCTTATTCAATAATAAGTTTCATTGTTTTCGCAAGTATTTGAGCCCCTGAACTAAGTCTAGGGAGTCCTGTACATCAGGGTACTCCACTCAAAGGTTAAATTAAATTGTAAATTAACAATCGTTACTCAAACTCAAAAAACCTTTATTCATATAGGTAAACAAGTACACTTATGAACGTCAGAAAAGAAGTTAAATTCATTCTAAATTTACATTTACTACCATTTTGCGGCAAGGGCGTAGAGCGGACAAGAAGAACTGGCAAGAAACTCTCCGCCACTCTTTTCAATCGCTTATTAATTATTACTAAAATATTATACAAAGAAAAATTGAAAACTGAGACTTTACTAAGACGAATATAAGACGCAGTACACACCAGAAGTGAATGACTTTGATAATGTTTGGGTAGGGATGGAGGGAATGGGGGGAGAGAGTGCTAGTGTAGTTTCTTATTGGCGCGCCACATTCAATCCTGAGGTCATGGGCTTATTGACGGGTACGGGTAGGGTCATTCTATATGCAATGTTACTCGTAGGGTGAAGGAAAACATCCAGAAGAACCAATCGTGGTCATGTAGGCACGGAAGGCTGTTCACCTACTTGCTCATTATGTTAAACTAATCGCGAAACAGATACAGAAATCTAAGGCTGAGGATAGCGGTGTGTGTCAAAACATATATCATTTAAACTGACAATATTGAAATAATGTTAATAATTAAATTGACAATTTAGTTATATACCCGTGACCATGTTTGCTGTAATAAATCTTCGAGATATTTGTAGTTAATAATATTTTATAATAACATTATTAGTAATCATAACAATTAAATATACAGTATTAACAATTTTCTTAACCTAGACAGTTATAACAAAAATAATTAAAAATTTATCAAAAGAAAATTAAAACAAATTTAAAAAGTTTGGTCCCTGAGTATACCTTTAACGCTGGCAGCATTTCCTCGCTGTATTGCGATACTTATTCGTTGAGCGAGAAAATAAATAATTAATATTTTTATTATTAATAATATTTAATTAATTAGTATTAAAAAAAATTTATTTATTTGATTCCTTTTGTAAATTTTTGAACCTTTTTGTAGCTAAATGTATTATGTATTCTATCTCTGGCTATATTTTCAGTGTAACTGTTTGTTATTATATATAATTTATGTTAGCTGTAGGATTACGAAATAAATAAATAAATATTGTTGAATTATTTTATAATTGATTTTAAAACTACAATTTATTATATTACATTATCTTCTTATTTTAATATTCTCATTCCAATATTTCGTTAGCATTCAAATTATACTTTTGTAAGATTAACGAAACCCTTTACCCAATGGCGGAAGTATTCAATGATTTCACAGAAAGTCAATGCCGTAAAAAATCCTATTCCTCGCGTCAATAAAAGAAAATTAAAATAACATAAACCTTACTTCTAAAGTCGGTAGTTTTGTTTCCACGTTTCCTGCCACGCACGAACTCTAGAATTAATTACAATCTAATTATGGTAACCATTACTTCCGGAACAATTTTGAACAGTAATAGGCAAGAACGATATTAGGAATCCTGGGAAAATGTACAACCAAACGACTGACTCCGTTCGATTGTGATTGATCATCAGCATCTCATAGGACAGAATACGAAATTCCGCCCGTCCACCACCACCTCGACGTTGGTTCCTCAACTGAGCATTTTTAAAGGTAGATATCGCGCGCACCTCCACTATGTGGAACCAGCTGCCCACTGAAGTATTTCCGAACCAATTATGATTGAGAACGTTCTAAAATAGATTTAATTTACGCGTGGTTAATGTTGAGATCGTATGGTTAGTAAAAGAATTCCAATTAATTTTATTTTGAGCCAGGCAGGCAATGCGCCCGCCGCTTAACACAGAAGGTCCCGGAAGTAGAGACTGATTAAATTGACCGCCTTGGTATTACATGGGTTTCAAAACTTTTTACGGTAGAAGAACTGCGTGGCGAGACTTGTATTTTTACAAGTTCTGTTTTTGATGGCTTAGTATTTACACTTGATTAAGTAATTAATTTAATTATTAGTAATCTAACAGATTACTTAGATATAAGTACATGAATAGACAAAAATATATTTAAAAAATAACTAAAAATAATTATGAAGGTTATTCGAGCGGCGAATTTACTGGCAGACTATGGGAGCGTTCAAGAATTACGTCACGCAATTTTTGGAGATTATTGACAAACCCCAATTTAATTGAATTTCGTTATTCCCACATCTTAGACCCTCTGTATACATCAATCGTCCCACCTAACAATTTAAAGTAATGTCGTAAAACTTCGTGCTTAGAACCTTTTTACCCAATCATCAATTAAACTACGCTACCATTGACCTTATCCATTGTTGGCAAAAACTTTGGTAACGATGGAGACGGGCCTCGGTGACCATTCGAGCCAAGGTCTTCATGAAGATGCAATCAAATTAAGAGACAATATCACCCAGTAATTATAGGCTTTTTGACAAGTTTTTTAGTATTGACTTATAATTCAAATTAATTTATAATATTTAGTTCCCACTAGAATTTAAGTGCGTGCTCCTATTTCACTATGCCTACTGCTGAACTAACGCCAAACCCACAATTTTGGGTTTAAGCTTGCATTGACCCCCCTACATATTCCATAAATAAAATTGCGTCGTCTAACAAATGTTCAGTTTGGCCCTCAAATTGTAACATTTCAATGGACTATACTTCTTTTGGCACGTTATGGAAAAATTATGAGAGTAAATGTTTACGATGCGCGCGTACACCGTCACAAAAAACCGACACCCCGAAGTTAGCTATAGTCAACATTTTAGTTTTTTTTGAAGTTATACTTCTTTTGGCGCGTTAGGGTAAATTGATGAGAGTAAATTTTTTCTATTGTTAGTGTCGGTTTTTCCACAAACGTAGAATAAGGCGAAAGATTAAAATTTTGAAAAGATTTTTATCTTGTTACGCCAAAGAAGTACAACTTCTAACGCGTGTACATAAGTACATACACGTTTTTTTTTTGCAACAATGAAACGCAAACGGGCAGAAGGCTCATCTGATGTGATACTGCCGCCATGGACATGGGCATTGGTCGGGCCTAGATGCCTTTTATTGTTTAGACACTATCCTAAAGATATTTTTTGAAAAATAAAGATTACACCGGCTAATCTTTTGAACCTATAACTTTATATTATTGGTTTATCGTTATACCGTATACGGCTTCTAAATTCTCATGGCAAACACGCTAAAGTGTGACGTGAATTATGAACAGTCACGTGTGCGTATGCTTTTTGGAAATTATTTATTTAATTGCGAGCATGTATGACAAAGATTATTCCGGCCGCTATAGATATATAGCAGTGTTGGCCTAATGGCTCACATCCCTGAGGTTAGATTTGATCCCCGGCTGTGCACCAATGGACTTTCTGTCTACACATTCGAAAACATCGTGAGGAGACAGGCTTGCCTTAGACACAAAGAGTCGAC